TGAAGATCTTTTCCCATTCTGTAGACAGTCATTTTGTCTTATTGTCCATGTCCTTTGCCCTACAAAAGCTTCTCAGTTTCAGGAGGTCCCATTTATTAATTATTGCTCTTGGTGTCTGTGCTACTGGTGTTATATTTACGAAGTAGTTTCCTATGCCAATGTGTTCAAGACTGCTTCCTACTTTCTCTTCTTTATGGTTCAGTGTTGCTGGTTTTATATTGAGATCTTCGATCCACTCAGACTTGAGTTTTGTGCATGGAGATAGATATGGATCTATTTGCAGTCTTCTACAGGTTGACATCCAGTTATGCCAGCACCATTTGTTGAAGATGCTTTCTTTTTTCCATTGTACAGTTTTGGCTTCTTTGTCGAAAATCAGGTATTCATAGGTGTATGAGTTAATGTCAGGGTCTTCAAGTTAATTCCATTGCCACATGCTTGTTTTTATGCCAGTACCAAGCTGTTTTTATTACTGTAGCTCTATAATAGAGCTTGAGGTCAGGGATCATGGTGCCTCCAGAGGTGGTTTTATTGTACAGGATTATTTTAGCTATCCTGGGTTTTTTTGTTTTTCCAAATGAAGTTGACTGTTGTTCTTTCCAGGTCTGTGAAGAATTGTGTTGGGATTTTGATGGAGATTACATTGTATCTGTAGATTGCTTTTGGTAAGATTGCTATTTTTACTGTGTTTATCCTACCTTTCCCTGAGCATGGGAGATCTTTTCCTTTTCTGATATCTTCTTTGATTTCTTTTTTCAGAAACTTCAAAGTTCTTGTCATACAGGTCTTGGACTTGCTTAGTTAAAGTTACCCCAAGGTATTTTATATTATTTGTGGTTATTGTAAAGGGTGATGTTTCTCTGATTTCTTTCTCATCCCATTTATCATTTTTATATAGGAGGGCTACTGATTTTTTGAGTTAATCTTGTATCCTGCCACATTACTGAAGATGTTTATCTGCTGTAGGAATTCCCTGATAGAATTTTTGGGGACACTTATGTATACTATCATATCGTCTGCAAATAGTGAAAGTTTGACTTCTTCCTTTCCAATTTGTATCCCCTTGATCTTCTTTTGTTGTCTTATTGCTCTAGCTAGGTCTTCAAGCACATATCTTTAATAGATATGGGAAGAGTGGACAGCTTTGTCTTGTTCCTGATTTTAGTGGAATTGCTTTGAGTTTCTCTCCGTTTAATTTAATGGTGGCTGTTGGTTTGCTGTAAATTGCCTTTATTAGTTTAGGTATGTTCCCTGTATGCCTGATCTCTCCAAGACCTTTATCATGAAGGAGTGTTAGATTTTGTCAAAGGCTTTTTCAGCATCTAATGAGATGATCATGTGGGTTTTTTTTCTTTCAGTTTGTTTATATGGTGTATTACATTGACTGATTTTCATATGTTGAACCATCCTTGCATCTCTGGGATGAAGCCTACTTGATCATGGTGGATAATTTCTTTGATGTGTTCTTAGATTCAGTTTGCCAGTATTTGATTGAATGTTTTTGCATCAATGTTCATGAGGGAGATTGGCCTGTAATGCTCTTTCTCTATTGCATCTTTGTGTGGTTTGAGTATCAGGTTAACTGTAGTCTCATAGAAAGAGTTTGGTAATGTTCCTTGTTTCTATTTTGTGGAACAATTTGAAGAGTATTGGTATTAGCTCTTGTTCAAAATTCTGGCAGAATTCTGCACTGACACCATCTGGTCCTGGGCTTTTTTGTTTTTTGTTTTTGTTAGGAGACTTTTAATGACTGTTTCTATTTCCTTAGGGGGTTATAGGTTTATTTAAATTGTTTATCTGGTCTTGATTTAATTTTGGTATGTGATACCTATCCAGAAAATTGTCCATTTCTTTTAGATTTTCCAATTTTGTGGTGTGCAGGTTTTTGAAGTATGACCTGATGATTCTCTGTATTTCCTCATTGTCTGTTGTTGTATCTCCATTTTCATTTCTGATTTTGTTTATTTGGATGCTCTCTCTCTCTCTGCCTTTTGTTTAATTTGGATAAGGGCTTGTCTATTTTGTTGATTTTCTCCAAGAACCAACTCTTTGTTTCATTGATTCTTTGTATTGTTCTCTTTGTTTCTATATTATTGATTTCATCCTTCAATTTGATTATTTCCTGACATCTATTCCTTCTGGGTGACTTTGTTTCTTTTTGTTCTAGAGCTTTTAGGTGTGCTGTTAAGTCGCTAGTGTGAGATTTCTCCAACTTCTTAATGTGGGCATTTAGTGCTATGAATTTGCCTCTTAGCACTGCTTTCATAGTGTTCCATAAGTTTGGGTATGTGGTGTCTTCATTTTCATTGATCTCTAGGAAGTCTTTAATTTCTTTCTTTATTTCTTCCATGACCTATTGGTGATTCAGTTGAGCATTATTTCCATGAGATTGTAGGCTTTCTGTAATTTTTGTTGTTGTTGAAATCTAAGGATAACCTTCAACTTCTTATCTAAATTTAAGCCATGGTGGTCCAATAAAATACAGAGGGTTATCCCAATTTATTTGTATGTGTTAAGATTTGATTTGTGACCAAGTATGTGGTCGATTTTAGAGAAGGTTCCTTGGGTTGCTGAGAAGAAGGTATATTCTTTTGTGTTAGGATGGAATTTTCTGTAAATATCTACTAAGTCCATTTGAGTTATAACATCTGTTAAATCCCTTATTTCTCTGTTAAGTTTCTGTCTGGCAGATTTGTCCATTGATGAGAGTGTAGTGTTGAAATCTCCCACTATTAATGTGTAGAGTTTGATATACAATTTAAGCTTTTGTAATGTTTCTTTTACATATGTGGTGGCATATGTAAAAGAAACATTTGGGGCATAAATGTTCAGAATTAAGACTTCATCTTGGTGGATTTTTCTTGTGATGAATATGTGATATACTTCCCAATCTTATTTGATTGATTTTAGTTTGAAATCTATTTTGTTAGATATTAGGATAACTACACCAGTTTGCTTCTTAAGTCCATTTGATTGGAAAGTCTTTTCCCTGCCTTTTACTCTGAGGTAGTGTCTGTCTTTGAAGTTGAGGTATGTTTCTTGTATGCAGCAGAAGGGTGGATCCTGATTTCTTATCCATTCTGTTAGTCTATGTCTTTTTATATACGAATTGAGTCCATTGATATGAAGGGGTATTATTGACCAGTGATTGTTAATTCCTGTTATCTTTTGGTAGTAGTGTGTATATATCCCTTCTTTGGTATTTGTTACTCTGGGGTTATCTGTTGCCTGTGTTTTCGTGGATAAATCTGACTTCCTTAGATTGGAATTTTTCTTCTAGTACCTTTTGTTTTGCTGGATTTGTGGATAGGTATTGTTTAAATCTGGTTAATAATGTATGAGCATATGGGGGCCAATCTTTTTTCAAACCACCACAGATCCCTTAAAGCTGGACTTATAGATGGTTGTGAGCCTCCTAATGTTGGCACTGGGAACCTAACTCCTGAGCTATCTCTCTAAGCCCCTGGATGTATTTTTGACACACAGTATTTTCCAATTACAATGAGTTTTTGAACATAACCCCATTGCACTTAAATTGAAAAGCATCTGTATGTCTGTTTTTGAAAACTATAGTTGAACTATTAATTTATATAATGTTTGTCCAACATGCATAAAACTTTTGGGTTCCATCTCCAGCACCACCTAAATGGGATATGGTGGTGCATTCCTGTAACGGCATTTGGGAAGTGATGATAGAAGGATGAGAAGTTGAAGGTTATCCTCAGTTACCTATGGAGTTTGAGGCCAGCCTGAGCTACATGAGCCACTGTCTCAAAACACAAAAACAATGAGCCATTGAGTAAGCTCAACTCCCAGGACCTGCATAGTGAAAAGTGAGAACTAACTCCTGCAAGTTGTAATGTAACCTTTATGTGCACACATGGGTGAGTGCCTGTGCATACACACACACACACACACACACACACACACACACACACACACACGTAATGTGTGTAATATAAGGTCTCACTGTGTATCCCTGGCTCGTCTGAAACTTGCAGAGTTTTTCCTGCCTCTGCCTCCCGAGTACTGTGATTATGAAGCTTGTAACACCAGCCTAAACTTTTTTCAAAACTCGCAGACCAAGGGCCAGCTAAGTGACTCAGTAGATAAAAGTGCTGGCCATGCAAGTTTGGTGGCCTCAAGCCACAAAGAGTATGACAAAAAGGAACCAACTCAGCAGAAGTTGTTCTCTGACCTATGCGTATGCACTGTGGCACATGCACCCACATAGACTTCATGCACACACAATAGTAGTAGTAATTATATATGAGACACATTTTAACTATAAATGTTTTATAAATTTATATATATATCATTTGTATAAAACAATCTTATGTATGTGTATACACACATCTATGAAACAATCCAAAGGGAAATATAAATACTGCCTCCAAACTCTTCTCAATTAACCACTCAAAGATTCATATCTTTTAATTTCTGGTATGTATATAAGGACATTTTAATTTGTTTCTTGCCATTCATTTAGCAAAGTATCTATGTCCTTATCCTTAAGGGTTTTGTTGTTTTTACTGTTTTGATTTCTTCAATATTTGTTTGTGTTTTATGTGCATTGGTGTATTGCCTGCATGTATGTATCTGTGTAAGGGTGTTGGATCCTCTGAACTGGAGTTACAGGCAGTTATGAGCTACCATGTGGGTGCTGGAAAGTAAACTCAGGTCATCTGGTAAAGCAGCTGGTCCTCTTAACTGCTGAGCCATCTCTCTAGCCCTGTTTTTGCTGTTCCATTTTGGTTTTGTTTTTCTTGCCGTTGGTAGTCAACTGTCTTCAAACTCTTGACCGTCCTACCTCAGGCTGCACACACTGGAGTTGAGGTGTGCATACCTGCTCTTCAGGTGTTTTCTGTATATTCGTTTAAATGGTGACATATTTTGTGCAGGTTCATCACAGTGTAAAGAACTGAGCAGCTCACTGACTGGTACTTTATTGGCAAGTATTTGTTGATGAATACTTCCAACAGTATCTCTTCTTGTCCCAGGACACCAGGGCTCTTCAGTTTAATTGACACCATGTGGCCCCCAGTGATGCCTCTGGCTGAGCCTTCCTGTGGTGAGCCCAGTGAAGAGGTAAGCCCAGCCTTGGAGAGCTCCTTGTCAGGAGCTGAGTGAGGCAGTCCTACTGCAGTCAGATGGCCCGTGTCTTTCCTTGGGCAACAAGAACTGTGCAGCTAGTTCCTTTGTCTGGAGTGATGTGTGGATGCTATCTAGGACAGACTGCAGCTCCTCTCCAGTACCAACATTCTGATGGTTCTTTTCCCTGCTCCTCTGGTAAATTCTTGATGAATTTGGTTTGTATTTTGGTTTTTGTGAGAAATGCAAAATAGGCCTCAGTCTGGAGCCTGTACTGACCTTAACTCAGAGCAGTCCTTCAGTTTCAGCTTCCAGGTATTAAAATTACAGGTGTGTGCCAGCAAACTCAATCAAACTCAGCCACTCACTCACTGCTGCAAGGCAGATTCTTAGCCTCATCCTGAAGCAGACATCGTGTCCTTCCCATTCCTTTGCAATCATTTATAAAGTCAACACTCAGTTAGCAATTGGAAAAGAGACATTAGGTAGAATCCATAAATAGTCAACAGAAATTTCCCTTTTCCTCACCACATTGTCATCATAGTGACTCAGAAGCAGCAAAAAGGATAAGGAGCTTTCTTCTACTGACTCTTGAGCTTGTTCATCGGGTGGCTACTTTAGTCTACAGTTCCCAAAGCACATTCTCTCTCTCTCTCTCTCTCTCTCTCTCTCTCTCTCTCTCTCTCTCTCTCTCTCTCTCTCTCCCATACACACACACACACGTACACACACACACACACACACACACACACACACACACACACACACCTCCCTTTCCTTCTTCGATTCCCTCCCTTGACACCCCCCCCGTGTGTGTGTGTGTGTGTGTGTGTGTGTGTGTGTGTGTGTGTGTGTGTGTATGAGAGAGAGAGAGAGAGAGAGAGAGAGAGAACATGCATCCATCTAACAGGCATCTGTGGATGCCAGAGTTTGCTGTCAATACCTGTCTTCAGTTGCTTCTCCACCTCAAGTGTTGAGAGAGGTTATCTCTTAAACCTGGAGCTCACCATTTTGGTCAGATTGCCTGACCAGTGAGCCTTTGGGATCCTTCTGACTCCATCCCCAGCACTGATGTTCCATTACACTAGCTTGTTTCAGGTTTCTGAGGAACTGAATTTTGTGGCAAGCACTTGACCTACTGAACCATCTCCCCACCTTCTTGTAGCTGGCTTTTTAGCAGAGTGCTACATGTATGACATGTGAGTCTGTGCCAGAGAGCAAAGTCCTTCTCAAAATTCCTGTCTGCAGATCATATAAGAAGTTATTCCTTAATGGTACTTTCAGTATACTCTGAGGAATAGATTTCTTCTCCTCTGTTTTGTTTTAACACTGGGCCTTGAGTATCTTAGGATGACCTTGAAGTCCTGATACCCATCCCTGTTTCTTCCTCCCAAGAGTTGAAATTGCAGGCTTATGCTACCATGCCTGGCATGAAGACTAAATCTAAAATAAAATCTTAAATCTGTACAGAAATATTCTTACACATGGACAAAGTAACCCATTTCTTACCTAGTCTCCCCATGAGAACATACATTCTAAGGCAAATTTGTGTGTGTGTGTGTGTGTGTGTGTGTGTGTGTGTGTGTGTGTGCGCGCGCGCGCACGCGCGCGCGCGCGTTCGTTCCAGTCTTAGGAATTGGAGCTAGGGCCTCTTTTGTGCTAGATACTCTACCACTGAGTTATATAGGTCTCACTAAGTAGCTCAGGCTGGCCATGAAGTCCTCCTGTAGTCCAGGTAGGCCTTGAACTTGTGATCCTTTTGTCTCCCAAAGCTGAGATCCCAGGCCTGCACAATTAAGCCAAGCCTGATCATGTGAATACTAGAGAACTTATGTTAATAGTATTCTTTCTAAACAGATGAAGACTTGCCTGCCTCCTCCTACCTTCTGTTATATATTCTCTGTGCATCCGAGCCTGGGACACGTCGATGCAATTGAAGGGGACCCCATTTCTGAGCTCTATCGGCCTCCAGTTGTCCACTGCTTACGAGAAATCCTCCAGGTAATGGTTGTGTTTCTAACAGGTCCTTCAAAGGCTTTTGCTGTTGCTGTGCTTTGTGTCATGTTTCTGTCTTTGTTTGCCTTTCCAGACTGATGGGCATGGCACGCGCTGTAGCTTCTATGGCAGAGTGATTTATCAAAGACCACAGGTAATATCTCTGTCTCTGTCTGTCTGTCTGTCTGTCTGTCTGTCTGTCTCCCCTCACTCTCTCTTTCTCTAGCCTATTGAACAATCTCTTAGGAATTAGTGGTATGCCATAATAGAAAAATATCTCTAAAATCTAGGTTAACCCATAATTTACCCTCCTTGTTTGGAGCCATCCTTCTCTGTGTAAACTCTGTGGAGCTCTTTTGCATTTTGTTGTTGCTGTTGTTTATAATTTTGTTTTCTTTTAGAGTTGTTTCTATTAGGAATCTATTGCAGACATTTTTTTTCCTGATCCATAGTCAGTGAAAAAGCTATAAAAGTACCAAAATAACATGTTCCTTAACTTCTAATTGAGCTACTGGTAGGTAGTACATATATAAATATATAAATTGTGTCATCATAAACAGATTATTAGCTTCTCCCTCAACTATAATAGAGGGCAGAATGTTCTTGTAAAAGGCTAGAGAGTCAGTATTTTATGATTCTTGGATCATATAGTTTCTGTAGCAATTGGCCAGTTTTACTCAGTAATTTAAATGCAGCCATACTGATATTCATAAACAAATTAACAGGAATTTAAAAAAAGAAAGAAAGAAAAGAAAAGCTCTTTCTCTAAGTCTAAAGCAAACTGAAGTCTGGTTCTGTGGTTTTCAGTGAGTCTGCAGAGCACCTGGTATATGATGACAACATGAACTTCTGAGACTTCCTATTATTACGGAGTACGTTCTAGGCACAGAACTATGCAGATTAGTGGTACAGGGAGATGCTGAAATGCAAAGACTGAGAGTGAGGAAGACAGGGTCATACACTCAGCAGGCGGAGTCCTCCTCTCCACTAGACCAGGGTGCTACCTCATGAGACTGGGTAGATATGCTGACAGCCTTATAAGCAATAAATAGATCCACATATGCAAGGTCAATCAGCCTGGCTTTCAGTGGTGTGTCTGTCTGATCTCCCTGTGCTTAGGAACAAGTTGGGGATCCATAACTATCGTCTATGTTCAAATAATTTTTCTGGGTTGTATGTAGCTATAAGAATTCTTTAGGCCATGTGGGAGTGGCACAGCCCTTTAATCCCAGCAATCTGGGAGGCAGAAGCAGGCAGATCTATGTGAGTTCAAGGCTGGCCTGGTCTACAGAGTGAGTTCCAAGATAGCCAGGGCTACACAGAGAAACCTTGTCTCAAAAAAATAAAACAAACAGACAAAAAACAAGAGTTCTTTAATGGATTTTATGTTTTAGAACAGTTTTGGGTCTACATCAAAATGAAGGACAAGGTAAAAATCTCCCATGTATGTTCTGCCTCATAGGTGTTATCAACATGTTCACGGCATGGTACATTTGTTAACAGTTGACACAATCACCTAGAGTTCCTAGTTAATGACCCTTATTCTCAATTGTAATTTGGGACAGAATCATTGCACTACCATAGAAGTCTTCTGTGCTCTCCCTATTCATTCCTTCCTCCTTCAGACCCTTTAGCAAACATTGAAACCCAGAGTACCAGCATGTTCTAATTATGGAGTACACACATTTTTTTGATTGGCTTTTTTCTTTCCATACTAAGCATTTAGACATCCATGTCTCATCAGTGACTTGAGAGCTCATTTCCTATAACACTCAGTAATAAGTGTTTTATTATCTAGATGTATCAAAGCTCATTTGTCCATTTACCTACTGTGATGGACAGCATTAGTTGCCAACTTGACAGAATCTAGAATCACCTAGGAGACAAACCTTTGGACATGTTGGAGGGAGTTTCTAGATTGGGTTAATGAGATGGAAAGAGGTTAAATATGAGTACTACCATTCCTTGGGTTGGATCTCTCCAGAGTCAGCCTACAAAATGGACAAAGGCCACTACAGCTGTGCTCCAGGGGCAGGGGTACATTCAGTCTTGATCACAACTTAACAGCATTGTCTTTGCAGTTCTTGTGTTGTGGGTATAAAGGGTACAGGAGCCTTCATAGGCTCATGGCTCCCATAAAGCAGAATGCATTTGATTTGATCTCAAAAGTCTTTAATAGTTTTAACACTGTGCAAAAGTGTAAGTGAAGCAACTCTTCTAATACTTAGTCTCTTAACCATGAGCCCTTGTAACATAAAAGTGAGTTACACTTCTAACATACAATGAAACATCCCAAAAGAGGGGAATGTGGCATGACAAGGAAAGGTCATACCGAAACAAGACTGAGGCCCAGCAGGAAAAACACCAAATCCTGAAGCTCTGTCTCTGGCATGTGGAGCTGCTGACGGCATCTTCTGGGATCCAAATGGCTTGACCAGTCCTACCCTTCCAGCTGTGTACCCGCAACACACAAACTCTCTCTTGGCCCAGCTCCACCCCATTCCTGGAGCCCTCCTCAGGACGTCCTGTGGTCCTAGAATCTCCAGCACCCTAGTGCTTTCATGCAGTGACCCTTTGAGACCTCCATACAGAGACTGAATAAGCATGAGTGTGCTGAGCACTAGTATTTGTTTTTCAACTTCCTGACAGCTGGTGCAGTAAGACCTGCTGCCTCACACACTGCCTTGCCACAATGCCTGACTGTTCTAGAACTGCAAGCCAATAAGTCCTTTCTTCCTCCTGAAGCATCCTTCCTCAAGTATTCTGTCATAGTGACGAGAAAAGTAATACATCTGCCAAAAGATCTTGTTTGCTCCCAAAGTTAAGCAATTATGCACAAGAAAAGATTTATTTTAAACAAAATTTAGCTATTGAATATTGGTGTCTTTTTATAAAAGATGCTCTTATTACTGACTTTTTTATACCTTAGTAGTAGAAATAATTTGGTAGTTAATTTAAAAGAAGGTAGGGGGCAAGGAAAAATGGCTCAGCAGGCAGGCCTGATGACCTGAGCTCATTCCCTGGACCCCACATGAAGGAGCATGGAAGGAGAGAAACAACTCTTAAAGGATATCATCTGGCATCTGCATGCTTGTGAGCACCCAACAAGAACAATAGTAATAATAAAATGTAAAATTAAACAAAGAAAAGAAAATTAGAAGATGTTGGTCTCTCAGTCATTTGAAAGACAGACCATAGTCAAATCTCAAGTATTGGTGAAGAGCATTTCCAGTTTTTACCCCTTTTGGAATATTTATCAGTTTTTCAAATGTTAGTTTTCCAGTAATTTCAGAAGTAACCTTCCTAGCTCCAGGACTTGGCACACACTGTTCAGTGGGTTTACTCTTTCAGCTGCTTATGTTTTATGACTTTGGCTTTATTTTAAGACCATGGACCAGTTACTTAGTAAAATGTCCCTCAGTTTAGGTTTGCCTGGTATCTAACATGCATTTTTGACAGAAATGCCATGTGGGTAATGGTATGTTTTCATCAGGAGACTCACAGCCGGTTCCTTCCAGAGCAGTGATGGCTTTTCAGTTGGTCCCATGGCTTTCCAGGATTTTTTAATTTTGAAGTTGACAAACAAATATTTCATACTTATTAATTCTTACTGATATTTTGAAAGATACTTTGAGCTGTATAAATATCCTGGCTTTTATCAAACTTTCATTCACTCATTTTAACATCTGTTATGATTCTTGTCTGAATTAATAATTATATTTTGATAGTGACCAAATGATAATTTCTAACTTAACATTTCTTCTGCATTTATTAGGTGTGATTTTGCTACAATTGTCTTTTCATTTGTCTCAGTTAGTTAGTTCACTTAGTCATTGACCTACTATGTCAAAATGGATTAATGAATTATTTTTTATTATTATTTATTTAACTTTTATTTGGCCAGGTAAACCAATAGGTTTATTGAGGTTGAGGTCATTTCTAGAAGTATATGTGGAGGGCTTCTGAGTGCCTCTCCCACAGTCATTGTTTACTGAATACATAACACTGGGGAGGGCTTTGTGAATCTTTATATTTCATCAGTTTCCTGAGTCTTGTGAACCTCCTTCCACTGTCCAGAAAGGAGTCACAATTCCAATGGAAAGGCTGTGATTCTCTGTTCCTTCCTATGGCTCTTACTTTCTCTCTGCCTTCTCTTCAATGAAAGTCCTTTACCCTTTGAGAGAGTAATACAGATATCGGTTTGGGTTTTGGTTTTTCATTTATGACTGAACATTGGTTCACTACAGCACAACAACAACATCTTTGTTTTCAACAGCTTGACAATGTAGGTAAGTAGGCAGGCGGGAGGGGGGGAGGAGGAAGGAAGGGAGGGAGGGAGGGAGCGAAGGGGAGGGGGGGGAGAGGGAGAGAAAGGAAGGAAGGAAGGAAGGAAGGAAGGAAGGAAGGAAGGAAGGAAGGAAGGAAGGAAGGAAGGAAGGAAGGAAGGAAGGGGAAAATATAAAGAGAGTTTCCCTCCATGTCCAAGGCTGACAGTGCTATGTGGGTTTTGGCCAGCTGGGAGCCTCTGCTCTTCTGAGCCATCTCTGATGAGCATATTGGCCCTATGAGCCTGGAACCCTGCTCAGGGGCCTTAGGAATTAAAAGGTGAGCCAACACAGGCATGTCAAGATCCTAGGTGACCCTATTACAGCTGCATTACCTCTAAATCATAGATGACAATCTGAAGGAAGCTGCACTGTGTAGTCCTCTCATTTTTTATTCAATAGGTTTTATATAATCTGTTATTATTGTTCATTTGGTGTTCATGTTTTTCCAAAATTAAGCTATCTCCTTGGTCATTTCAACATAGTCAACATATGTGATGTTTTAAATGAGAGATATCTTCCAAAGACTCCTATATTTGAATACTTGGTCTCCAGTTGGTGGTGCTGTTTGGGAAGTTCATGAAACCTTTAGGAAATAATAGTTTTTCTGGAGGAAGTATGTCACTTGGAATGGGCTATTCCTTTCTCCCCCTTTCTCTCCCTACTTCCTGTTTGCAGCTGAAATGTGGTCTCTCTGCTTCCTGACTGCCCAGCCAGCCCCATACTCCTGTTATCATGTTTTCCCATCATTATGCACTGTGTCCCTTTGGAACTATTAGCTAATATAAACTCTTTCTCTTCCAAGTTGCTTTTGTTTGTGGTATTTATAACAACAACAGAAAAGTAGCTGATCCATCATTCTTTGAATCTTTCCTTTCTGACACAGTAAGATGTTTCAAGCTGACCTTTGGTGGTTTGTTTTCATTGATTTCTCCTTTAGTATGTGTGCACGTGTGCATGCATGTGTGTGTGTGTGTGTGTGTGTGTGTGTGTGTGTGTGTGTGTGTGTGTGTGTGTGTGTGTGTTTATGTCTGTGTGTGTGTCTGTGTGCTGTGCAGGTACATGTGGAGGCAGCTTACAAGATTCAGCTCTGCTTCTACCACGTGGAAGATTGTCTAGCTTAGCCGAAGGCTCCTGTATCCACTAAACCATCTTTTGAACCCTGCTCTTCGGGCTTTAGACCTTAGAATCAGCCCTTTCTTCAAGGAGTGCTGGCGAAGTGTAAAGGGAAATTAAAAAACAGTGTCTTAACCATGTTAAAATTAAAAGACAATGTCTGGTCTGGATGGTCTTGCTTCAGGTGGAATGTAATTATGTTTAGACCTTCTCTGTGACTAGAGCGAGGAGACAGATGTGGATGTATCCCTGTGCACACCTGATATGTGTGCCCAAAGTCATGTTGCACACCCGTTCCTCCTACCATAGACTATTACAACAGAATTTTCTCCAGACTTCCCTTGTGTAGCTTCCCCTCCAGCAGAATGTGGCGGCTCGGAGATGGGAGCAGGGAGATCAGAGGTTTATGAGGACCCTGGGCTCCACAGGGAATTCAGTCCCAATAAATAAATAAAACCTTTCCTCACTGACAAGGAGAAAGCTGGCTATATTTATATTTCCCTCTGTAATACTTACTCTGATTTATTTTATGTAATCAACCCCCTAATGATATAAGCTTCCCTCTTTACCCCAGCCCACATCTCCTAAGCATGCCATCTGCTCCAGCCATAGCAACTGAACTCTTAAAGCAGCCAGGAACTTAGGTCCTAGGCCTACACTTTCTTCGTGACTTGTACTTGTATCTACTGATGTAAGTTCTGACCCACTGGTAAAGGCAGAATGCCAGTTTACTAGAACTTCCAAAAGTATCACAACTCCTGCAAATGACAATATATATATATATATATACATAAAAATTATCAAGAAAGGGGAAAAGAAAGACACAACTAATAAAAATGAAACCTGCTGCACGTGCAGCAGATTTGTGACACCTGCTTTGTAAGTCCTCTGCCAGGTCACATGAGGTCTGTTCCTAACCCTCAGGACACAGATAGGTATCCATAGAGACCATGGGTCCACAAAACAGAGAACGACTCTCGGTCCACACAGACATAGGCCTGGGAGGGAATGACAGTGAGTTTTCCCTGAGTACTTTAGGGAACAAATAGAAAACTGCCAGTGAGGGCTGTGTTGTGTCCTTTAGAGGAGCCCTAACAGCCATGGAGAGGGTATAACTGCATCAGTGAGTACTAGTAACCATGGTTTGTAAATTTTATTATATGTTTTAAAGTGTTTGTGAAATCGTATGTTAAATTATGAGTATAAATAATTACTAATATTGCTTTTAAATTTTTGGATATGCATAGTTAATAGTTTGTTGCTGTTGTTGTTTTCAAATTGTAGCTAAAGAATCTTTTGGCACAAAAGGAAATCTGGCTGCTGGTGACTGATATCACCCTACAAATACAGGATGAAAGGGACCATTACCTTCCCAAAACCCTGCCGATCTATGTAACTCCCTCATGTGTGCTGGGCCCAGAAGTTTTAGAAGGACTCACCATGGCTGTGCCTCATAACATACTCTTCAGGGATGCCCTCCGAGACAAGGGTACGCTGGTTCCTCTTGATTGCTTTAATTAGACTGACTGCTCAGTTCTTGCATTGTTGCCCCATCCTGCTCAATACTGCTCGACCTTCACAGAGCCCAGTATGAGCCTAGTCTGGTGGGGGTAGAGAGGCCATCTTACCTGCCATGGGCTCTCATTGACCAAGACCACTTGACAGGAGCCAGCACCCCAAGCTGTAGTAGACACTGGAAGGCACTATTGGCTGCTCCTTGACTCTGTTAACAGCACCTGTGCTTACATGGAAACCACCTCCACTCATGGCCTAAATGTCCCTTTTTAAAATAAAACAAAAGCTAGAGAACATGGTGTATATCTGGCCCTGTAACAAAGGCCTGTAACTCCAAAACATGGGATGCTGAAGCAGGAGTATCATAAGTTAGAAGCCAGCCAAGGTTACACAGTGAGACCCTTTTTCAAAGTAATAATAACAATAAAGTAGGCTTTAGGTCAGTCCATATCTTTCTTGAGATCAAACACTTAAACTTTTTTTTTCCATTTTATTTAGGTATAATGAATATCATAAAATTCACCCTTTTCAATTGTATTTGAATGTAGTATCTGTGTTCTTTTCCACCATTGTTCACTGGGGGCTTTAAGATGTACTTCCATGTGACATTTACATGCTGGCCATGCCAGACATAAGGAACGGATAAGCCCATATCTGTGCCTTTCTTCCTACAAAATTTGCAATGGCTGGTAAAGGAGACTGCCTGGAATGTGCATGCTTTCCTTAATTGCTTGAATAATCTGAAGTATCTCCATGGCAGGTCAGATTGTTTGTGTTGAGCGGACAGTCCTCCTACCCCAGAAATCCCTCTTGTATGTGCCTTCTGGTGCTAGTTCCTGTGACCTGCCTGGCCCAGTGATACTGGATGAACTGGGCTCCCTCACGCCTGTCAACTCCATTTGCAGTGTGCAAGGTGGGTGGCCCTCTGATTGGAAGCAGAATTCCACTGTCTTACATGGTGTATTATTTTAAATCTACTGCTCGGTCAATTTTTATTGGGTGTCTATGTTCCAAACATTAGATGTATAGGAACAAAATAAGAAGAGGGTCTGTAATTGTAGACTAGGAGTCTATAGAGGAAGATACAAATCAGGTAAGTACACAAACAAGACTCAGTGTCTCAAATGGGGCTCTCACCTTACTGAGTAATATCTAGGAAGGCTCCCTAAAGACTGGACCCTTGAGCCTATGAGATGGCTCAGCAAATGAAGGTGTTTCCCCCCAAATCAGTGACCTGAGTCCCCATCATTGACACAGTATAAAAAGAGAGCCAAGTCCCACAAGTTGTTCTCTGTACTGTGCATGTGTGCAAGCACAAGCATGCGTGTATATGTGCGTGAGTCTGCAAATGCAAAATAAATGATTTCTTTTTTTAGGTACCAGAATTCTTAAATCAAGATCTGAAAGATACATTAATGACTGGGATAAGGAGCAGGACTTAAAAGATAGCCAACTAGAGAGAGGTGACAAGCCAGTGGAGAAGGGTGGGTAGGCTGAAAGATGGAGGGAGGTACCAAGAGGAAGCTGAAGGGACAGCTAGCTGTCAAGAATATAGTTTGTCGTGCACAGAAGTGAACAGCTTCAGTATTGATGAAGTCACAAACATAACTATGTGTACACAGAGAACACCCTGTAATGTTAACATAGGGAGTGGTTGAAGAAACCAGCTTTGAAGACTAGAGGGGATATGGTCTGGATTCCATCCTGTAGGCAGGGGGCCCAGAGAGGCAATAATGCAGTGACCGAGAAGTAAATAAAAGATGAACACAGGAGTGGGTTTCATTAGGAGGAATACTGATGGGTTGGGTAATAAATCAGATCAAGAGAGAGCATGCATACAGAGAGAATAGGTGAAGCCACCTGCAAGCTTCCACCTCAGGCCACAAGGCACGTGGCAGATCTGCCCAAACAGGCATAGAATATGAAACCTTGAAGGCATAACTGTGTCTTGCTTGAGACTTTGGATATTTTCTTGTTTGTGCTTATTATTGTTATTTAGCATATATTAATTATGCATAATAATGGATTTCATTATGACGTTTTCATACATATATATAAAGTATTTTGATCATATTCACCACTTACTACCTTCTCTTTACCCCACTTCTGTTCCCATTGTTCCCTTGTTGTTTTGTTTGGGGGTAGTTATATTTTTAATGTTTATTTTATTTTAAATTATGTGTATTTGTATGTGTCTGAAAGTTATGGGTACATGAGCACAGATTCCCTCAGCAGCCAGAGGTGTCAGCTCCCACTGGAGCTTGACTTAAAGACAGTTGTGAGCTGCCTAGCATGGGTGCTGAGAACTGAACTCAGGACCTCTCCAAGAGCAGTACACAGTCTCAACCATTGAGCCATCTCTCTAGAGCATTCAATTGTATTTTTAGTAAGCTTATAAAATAGTTGGCTTGAGTATTTTTGAAGCATGAGGAAGAAATATTTCAGCAACTGGTTGGATATATAAATCCAGAGATGAAAATAGTATCAGTGCTTTCTTTTTTAATTTTATTAAAAATATTTCATAATAATAGTAATGCGTATACATTGGAGTTAGGTAAAACTGAACTCAGGGGAAGGTAACAGTCTCCTGTTGGCAGAAGTTTCTCTCCCTCCTGCCTGTTCCCAAATACCTAGCAACTGCTTCCCAAATAATTGACTCAGAAGCTTAATATTACCTATAAATGCTCAACCAGTGGCTCAGACTTATTACTAGCTAAATTTTACACTTAATTCTTATCTATGTTTACCACGTGTCTTAGTATCTTTTCTCAAAAGGACATTCTCATCTTGCTTCCTCTGCGTCTGGCTGGCCACTCTGCCCTTCCTCTTCCCAGAATTCTCATAGTCTGATCTATACTTCCTGCCTGGCTACTGGCCAATCAGCGTTTTATTAAACCAATTGGAGTGACAAATCTTCACAGTGTACATACGAGAAAATCATCTCACAACAATCTCTTACTATATATCTCCTGTACTGTTGTGCTGCTGTGACACACACACACACACACACACACACACACACACACACACACACACACACACACACGCATATCGCCTTGGCAGAAATGAAATGTTCTAGGCAGGATGTCTGTCTGGGGAGCTAGAGGTTCACACAGCCATAGGTAGGCCTTCATGAACAAGCTGCTCCTCCATCAGCACACACATAGGATGTCTCAATACATTCTTGGATATCATTTCCATTTTCTGTAAAAGAGAATTTCAGAGACCCAGTCTGTGTTTTATGGTTTTTGGTTTTGTGAAGTTCCAGAGATGGAACCCAGGGTCTTGCTCATATTAGTCACGTACTGTACCACTGAGCTACATCTCCAGACCTCATGGACTTTATAAAAACCTTTACATCTTTATAGTTAGTTTACTTATTCAAAGTATTTTAATATGCTCACAAAATTGTATAAGCTTCATTATAACCCTGGAGCAATTCAAGCAAACCAAACCCTGTTACATGCTGCCTCCCACACCCTTAAGAAATTGTCAGTCTACTTTCTGCTTCTATAAATTTGCCTGTTCTAGACTATTTACTATTATTGACGATTTAAGACAGGATCTGCTATAGCCCTTGAACTCCTGTCCTCTGGCCTCCATGTCCTGAATGTGGGTGGCAGTTGCAGGCATGCACCTCTGTGCCTAGTTTGTTCTGTGTTGTTTGTCAGACATTCTCTTTAGTATGTTTCTGTGAGTGCCTACACAGTTATATGTGTCCCACATGCATGCCTGGAGCCTGTGAAAGTCCGGAGGGTATTGGATGTCTTGGAACTGCAGTTATAGGCAGGTGTGAGCCACCTGATATGGTTGCTGGGGACCAAACCCAGGTCCTTTGCAAGGCCAGCAAGTGCTCCTAATCATTGACCCATCTCTCCAGCCATTAGTTTTTTTTTTTTAATAAGATTTCCTACTGTAACCTAAACTATTTTGTGACTCACTCTGTAACCCAAGCTAACCTTAAACTTAAAATCCTCCTAGCTCAGCCCTCTATTTGCAAACCACCTACTCAGCTCTACACTTCCATTTTTATTTTTCATCATCATCATCACATGTGCATGCCTGTGTGCATGTGGATGTAGATGTACACTTGTGGAGGTCAACTGTGGGGTCCGTTCTCCCTCCACCTTCATGTGTCCCTGTGTTGGAACTCAGGTCCTCAGGCTTGCACACCATTTAGCACACTGAGTGGTCTCCTTGACCTGACTTCTGTTTCTCAAATGGCTAAGTGTGTTTTATGACCCAGGATATGGTCTTTTGAAGGGAATTTTCTCTCTCACCATAAGAATGCATTTTCTTGCTGCTGGGTGAAAATATCAAATAATCAGTCTCAGTCAACAGGAGTGTTAGTTTGGGATTTACTTGTGAATTTATTGCTCATACAAGTTCCATCTCTCTGTTTCATGTATTTTTTATTTTATTTTATTTTGTTTTGGTCTTACTAATATTGCCCTGGCTGATCTGAAACTTTATAGACAATTCTGATTTTGAGAACCACCTATATGTCTGCCTCCCGAGTTGTTGGGATTAAAGACATACACCTGGCTTTTCATGTTTTTTAATGCATTGTTGCATGCATACATGTTAAAGAGTTGGCCCTATTATTATTACTTAATAATTATTTTTAGCCCCAGTAATTTTCATGACTCTGAGGTTTGCCCTGTCTGAAATTAAAATTAGCATGGCATTCTCTTACTAGGTTTAGCATCACGGCATGTCCTGTTCTCTCCTTTATGTTTAATCTGCCAGTGTTTTTACATATAATGGCAGTTTCTTTTAGATAGCATATAGTTGGTTCTTGTTTGTATCCATGCTGATAATCTGCCTTTTAGTTTGTATAGTATGATCATTCATTCACATTAAAAAGGATTATTATTATATCTGATTAATACAGCTTTTCTTATGAATTGCTCCTAGATCCTCCCCCACAGGACTCTTTTTTCTAGGTTGTTGTTTTCCCATTGCATTGAGCATTCAGTGTATTCTATTTCCTTTCAGGATTTCTATTTTTTTTTTAAGACTTAGAATCTTACCTGGACATGGTACTACATGTCAACATAAGCCACATATCAAAACTCTGATAAAAATTAAAATAAAGTAAAATCCTTTTAAAAGGTACTAGTGGTTGTCGTAGAGTTTCTGGTATATAATTACAACTCAAGTTAGCTTTCAGTTGGCTCTTCGGTCCTGATTCCTGTGGGAATGTTGTTAGCTAAGTATAGTGGTTTGTGCTCATGGTATGCACTCGAGAGGCAGCCTGGTCCACATTAGCTAGTCGAGGCTATATGGCGAGACTTGGTACCAGAAAACAAGCTGTGATCACACCCAGTTACACCACTACTATTCTTTACCTTGCTTGTGAGTGAAAGTATTGAATACATTGTTATTGTTATTTTAAAAAAATCTACTTGTCAATTTAATTTCCTTGATGATATGTTTCCTATAGACCTTATTTCTGACATTTTCTTCCCATCTCAACGTTCTCTAGTAGCATTCACTGCTAGAGGGTTTCCTGTTTCCTGGCCAGCTCGAAGGTGTCCTGCAGGCCTGGGGTGGACAAGCCCAGTGTGCAAACACATTATCATAGAGCAGGGCACTGCCAGATCTCCTGATAAGAAAAAGCAAAGTAGCAAAGATTGGCTCTGCCATGGAGTGCCCTCAGTACAGTGATGGCAGTGAGTAGACTGGCCTTCCCAGCTGTCCATGTCCATGCAAAGGCTGGTCGCTGACTTTGGGGGCAAATTCATGTAAAGCTGCGTTCACACTGCTCGGTGACAGCCGTGCCCCTTCTCGGGTTCTTCCTTGTGCTGCTCTGCTGCCTCCAGGCCTAGAGGCTCTCTGATATGACTTGTTCTTGGTGTGGTTCCTTCTTCACATTTACCCTTTGAAAGCCTCTTTTTAAAAAGATGGTCG